CTACTTGCTCGATACGTAGAGAAGCGCTTGACGCGAATAGATTGCATCATTTGGGTTACCGTAAAAATTCAGGAAAACAGGAAGATTAAAGCAGTCATCAAAAATGTGCTTGGGAGGGCTGCAATACCACTAAGAACAAGAGGCAACGCGGCCAGTTGGTCAGTACAGTGAGGCAAGAAAAAGACACATGGTTGAAGTCGAGCTGCTAATGGAAAATACAGGACTTGCGATCACCACGCCCGCGTGGATAATTTACAGCTTATTTTACCATAATCTTACTCGTTCGTTGCATAGTGATTCACCATTCCTGTTCCTAGCGCCATTTCTTTGTTGCCTTTGTTAACCATCTGCTGCTATAAGTCGATCAGTTCGATGCTGCCTTGACGGTGGCGCTCATTTCATCGCCTTTAAGGGTCCTCTAAAGAAACACCTAATAATTAAATTTAAAGGAATAGCCCCCTCGCCTGCAAGTACACCGTGCGTTCCAAATTAACACCAACGTACTCCATATGACGATATTATTTACGCTCTTATTTCGGTTATTGGTGCCACCTCACAAAAGCTTAAGCATTGATAGCTCAGTCACATTCATGATTCAATGCTTTAGCTGTACAGTACTGCGGCTCATTGTGCGACGTCAAAATGAAATTGCATTTTACTACTTATTGTTATATCACACTATAGCTCATCAATTGAAAATCATATACATTGTACTTTCAATACAAGCTATTACTAAAAAAAATCTTGAAATTGTCACACAGACACATTATTGTACGGATTACAGTCAGTTCTATTACCATAAAAGTCCACCAAGATGCGGTCATAGCAACCTGGTGAGAGCCTTGCTAAATTTTGCCAAACAACGTGCCATATGGACCCTAAACGCACATACAACGTCTTGGTTAGGTAACATTATTTTAGTCTTCTCCAACTGTTACTAGGCTTTTAAAGCTCCGTATCACTCAATTAGCACGATGTCTCCAACGGCCAGCGACATTGATTGCCTCACTGCCGCTTCCGGGCTGTACAGTGCACAAAAAATACTCCTCTTCTTGTCGCTTCCAAAACGCACGGACAGTTGCTACTCCTGACGCCATAGCCTACCGCGACATTTATTAGACAGACGACAGGACTAACAAAATTCGTGGGGCGGGAAACATGAATGGCACAAGCAAAGCTTTTAGCATGTCTGCCTTATTTGATATTCGGGTAGGATTTATAGTAGCAGCCACTTTACAGAGCAAAGCAATTAGAGTCATTATTGACACCTTACGAGAGCCAACAATCTTCCCCAACAAGCGCGTCCTTATCACGCCGATGAGCACTCCCTAATAGCTTCATTGGTGCTCTTCTTGTTAGATAAGCAATTCAAGTGATTGCTCTACTGGTTCCTCTGTTTTCCTCTTCGATTGGACCTTAAACAGTTCGTCTCGCCAGCATGCGGATCATTCCATTATTCTTGTAGTCAATATGACGCATACTATGCCGTTTTCATGCGCGTCACTGTGTGCCCATCGGTCCTACTGGCCTGCTCCGTTTCTTTCATCTTTTTTGCAGCAGTATCAGTTGGTATCAAGGTACCAAGATAATATCGTACCCCACTAGGACAACTCGGTTATTGGTGAAGTGCCATTCTATATTGACGAATGTTTGTAACCAAGCAGTACGTGGCTTTTCATCTTAAAACCATCCTGTGCAACTATAATGAATTTGGTGATAGCAACAATTGATAGGAAGTTAGTGTAAACTAACAGTTCGGTAAGCCTAGACCTCGAAGTCACGTGTGTAATTAACTATAGCAGACCGTAAACACATACAGCCTGTTTAACGATGCATCCTGGCTGGTAGATTTAGATGAACTGAATACATGGTTGACACGGACGGCGTACGTAACTGGATTTCCTTGCTGCTGCAAACTTCCTGAGCCATTAGCGACGCTCCCCTTCTTCCCCGCAGGAACCTTTACATATTGTAGCTCCGGGATCTGCTGAATATCATTAATGCTCACCACGTCAAAGTCGCAGATTGCTGGTCCCACAGGCGTAAGCAACGGCCTTTTTTTTCATCATTGTATGCCATTTGCCAAAAAATGTTGCCAAAAAAACACTCCTAAACTCACGGTCGAATTCCTCTCTCTGCATAACATAACGACCTTAATTGACAAAGAGCATGGGAAGGGCTCAAATAAGCTCATAAAGCCGTGAGAACACCAATGGTTCGGCCTGGAGCGGAAGCACCGAAGGCAACTTCTACCATTCGAAATATCAAAGCCTGCCCCTCACAACTTAAACCCGGTCAACTTCTTAGTCTTCTTTCAGCATTCTAATTTGCGACGACCTTTGCGGTCTGGGGCCTTGAAGGTTCTCGATTTTTCGCATGATTGCAAGGGATATAACGCAACGCGCTGATCGTTTGGGTAGTACTGGCTCTAACTAGCATTGTACATTGCCCACTCAAAAAGCATTTATTATAATATCACTTTGTTTCAATACCGAACCTCTACTGTTTATGTTTATTGAAGACACTATTGTGCTAGGGTATAACAGGATTTCGACATAAGGAAGAAGCGAAATTGAGTATTTCCCACGTAGTTACTCAAAGATTCTTTTATCTGTATTTTTGTTTTGAGAGAAACTAACATGGCTTTACCAAGCGGAAGTGCACATCGACAGGACTGAATGAAGTTGTGTAGGACTAAGCTATGCATTTCGATTTTTCTCAGGTACTCGGTTAAACTGGTCGTCGGCTTAAATATAGACATCCGAACTCACAGGTGGGTTATTAGATGTTAAACAATGATCCTCAAGGAATGAGGCTTAATGCACCTTTGTATGCTGTAAATGAAGCATATACATTAGCAATGATATCGTAATTTTTACCGCAAAATGGGTATACTTTTGCTTTCGCCCAGAGTATGCACGCTAAGCGAAATGATAATGCTTATTTTGAGCCTATTTGTGAGCTCAAGTATTCGAAACTTACATTTATGCCAATATAGAGGTAATAGTGTGAAATCTGTTACTGTAATCGCTAGCCTTGGTACATCCACCGTTTTTGGCCCAAAATTCTTATTTTTCTAAAGGGGCTGTAGAAAATGATAGGCCTGGAAGTTTCGACAGTCTAGCTTCTGATATACCAGTCAGTAATTCAGGGAAAAGGCGTCAAATTTGCCGAAAAGAAGATTATGGACTAGTTTTAAAGAATACAATAGATGCGAATATTGTAGTAGACACCGTCATCTTAGTTCTTTGCCTATCTCAGCAACTCGAATCGATATACAATTAACAATAAAAAAGATTTTTTTTTAATCAGTTTTACAAAAATTTCCGCGATTATTAGCTTTCATCTTCCGAATACCAGGCACTGACCCTGTATGTATGTCTGTAAGGGGCCGAATATAAGAAATACAAAATAGCTTGCCTGCCGCTAGCCATTTTGAATATAAAACTTGAAGCTGTTCTCAAATAATCTGGTCGTATTATTAATATTAAGTAAGTAAACCAGAATAAGCCTATCATTTTCAAGCCGGGAAAACGTACTGCTGGCATAGAAATGAGCCAGTCTATACTCAATATTGTCACAACGTGCGGCTACTTGGTATCTGTTAGATACAGGGAAGTAAAACCATATTTAAGCTGACTGATTTGTATCATTTCGCTTTCGATGTAAAATTTTTGATCACACCGAAAACAGCTGTACCTCCCATGCTGAAAATGTGAGGCTGACCAGCAGCAGGAGGACCGAATGTTTGTAGTTATGCATTTGCCGTTGGGCCTACCAACACAATGGCAAAGCCGTTCATGTCAAGGTCATCGATTTCGTCTAAAATTTTTACATAGTTTTCGCTCCCCTATATACTCCAATGGAAAATTTGGCTTCTTAAAGCAACATAACATAACAAGACAACATTCGAAGATAAGAGTAATGGGAGTACCGCATTGGTATAGTATTTTGTTTTCTTATTGTTTTTAACTAGACAACAGAAGCATTAACCAATAAATACCATAACCTGTTGGGCAAATAAAGACGCCGAGTTGCTGACTTTGGCATGCTGTGAAGTTTTAATATGTGTAACTTTGATAGGCTATAGCAACCATCTAATCCCAGCTTTCTAAGGGTGCTTTCACGCCTGAGAGGTAATAAATACCAATTAGGTGCATGAATTAGGGCTGGCGCACCAAAGAAATGCTGTATGGACCACTAAATTTCTGTAAATAGGTCCGTGATCTTATAATTATTAGATTTCCTTTCTTGACCAGCATCAAGACAACAAGAAACCGAGACTTGTTGAGTGTGTCTGGTCGACATGTTCACAGGCGTCTCCGGTTCATTATTCCTTTGTAAGCAAAGTTCCGACAATTAGTGATCCACTCATTTAAATTAACAGAACGAACAATTTACAAATAAACACAAACATTAATTGTCTACTATTACATGTTTTGTGTTCGGAAGAATTGTCACAAGTTATATCTAGATAAATAATAGGGGACCTAGGGTAGAGCTGACGATGGCTGTAACTGTAATAATTATGGAATTCATTCTAACAGTTCCCATGATAGTCACTTTTGCTTCGGTATAGTTCGCAGACCTTTAAGGTAAAAAATGTTGATATGTTGGTTATTTGTCAACTTTAGCCTTAGCGTTGGAACGATCAATAAATGCCAACGATCTAATGACAAAACTGTTCAACAAGGTATGAATTGATTCAAGATATGAAACTATAAGCAAATTTGATCAAATCATCCTACATATTTTATACAGCTGGGGAGAAGGGATTGTTTGAAATAAGTCGTTAGTGTGAAATATTCTTTTCTCGCTGTATGGCGTTGTGTTACGTCGGCATCTGTCTCTTGCATTATACAGTCATTTCTATCCTTGTCTTTCCCGCCTTATGCTGCGTATAATGCTGTAAAGTGTCAAACCACCCCTTTCCCACTACAACACGAAGCTTGCATACGATCGGGTGTAGAGAACTACATCGTTGGAGTATTAAGCCGGGATTCAACAACGTCATTTCGAAGCGGTAGTCGTTCTGGCCAGACTTTTGCACGAACTAAAGTCTGCGTTCAGATCAAAACCTTGGTTCAACAGAAGTGATATATTCAGCCCGAGCTGAAAACTTGCTTCACTCATTGTGTCTAAACTTGACATGTGAGACCCCATATTGTGACTATCATCTTGTGCTCGCAACACAATTTTAAAAATGGTGACGGTGATTGCTAAAGTCTTCTACAAAGGACTTGGATTATAAGCTGTGCGTCTTCTCTGACAGAATTACGTTATAAAGTGCTTTTGTGATTATCTTGTTTCCGTCTCATTCTGGTTATTAAAAAAGTGATTCTTGTATGTTATTTAAAATAATGTCGCTAATTATTTCACGTATGATTCCCGACTCAAAAATTTTTTGGTCACCAGTGGACCCCCGCACGGAGGGGTGGCCTTTCGTAGGCAATCTGCCCTCCCTAGTCATTCTACTTGCCGGTTACTTATATGTGGTCAAAGTGGCAGGTCCTCGCTGGATGAAGGACCGTGTACCTTTCGAAAACCTTAAGCCCTTAATGCGTGTATATAATATTCTAATGGTATTTGCAAATGCTTTTATGCTTCAATACATTCTTCGGCGCACATACCTTGGTGGAGGCTACTCGCTATACTGCCAGGGAATCAACTACGTCGACCGCTCGCCACAAACAATGGAGTTGCTGAACGCCCTCTATTACTATACGTTCGTACGAATAATAGATTTTCTTGACACGATATTTTTTGTGTTGCGGAAAAAGTTTTCTCATGTCAGCTTCTTACACTTGTCACATCACTGTCTGGTTGTTTTTATAGGTTGGTATGGTGCCTTGCACGGTTACGAAGGCCAACCAATGTTAGGGACGTGCATCAACATGTTCATACACATTATTATGTACTCCTACTATTTTCTGGCATCATTCGGGCACCGATTTAAACGTTACCTTGTTTGGAAAAAATACCTTACACAATTACAGTTGATACAGTTTGTGATAGCCATCGGCCATCTCATAGTGCCCGTGTTCGAAAAGCGTTGCAATGTCCCTCTTGACCACGTGGTGGTCGTAATAGGGCCTACGATATTTTTTTTGGCAATGTTCTGTCGCTTCTACGTGCAAACATACGTAAAGAGACAGATTAAATTAACATTTAAGAAAAGATCGATTTTAGAGGGCGAACTAATGAAAGAGTTGCAGTTCATGCCGCCCGCAAAAAATGGTAATATTAGAATTGTTTCTTTCTCAGATGGCAGAGGTTACGCTTCTAAGAAAGGTGATTAATTGGTTATTTGATATGTGACTTCTAGACGGTAACCCATTTAATCGTATGCTTCACGGCATATAAATTCGAATTGGATGAAATATTCTTCGATCTTCAAACACTTATATCCATCATTCTCAATACGACTGACATAGTATATTATTTACCTACATATATTACAAAAAATAAAACATTTTTCTCATATATTCGATAACAATGTGCATAAGATGTACATGCGCTGACGTTGTTAAACGTGTACGTTCCCAAACCGTATTCGTGTACGTTTTTTATGTAATGCTCTTTACTGTTTAAGGTATTTGATATATATATGACAGTAGGACATATTGGGCTTAAAAGTGATTTTACTGCAATGGCCGAAGTCCTTAAAATGTTCATACAGTAATTTGGGAATTTATGTCTTTTTGCCCAAATAGCCAAAGTGCAAATCTGAGGCTACTTCTACTGTGCGAAACAAGTAAAATAGATTTAGCGTTTTTTTTTACCATTCATTTAATTTTTATTAGTACGGCTTAGAAATTTGTTATAATATTACAGTGCCGATAGTTTTTTAGACGATTCTGAAGCATTGGCCAAGATGTAAAAGGCTGCCTTATACAAATAATGGTTGCATTCATATATTCACACAAGTGAGTGAAGTAGTTGGCGCACAATGTGTGGCCTTTTGTAGAACGAGAGTTCACAAACCAAAATGTATAGGATCATAAGCTATGCGCCTTCTGGAATAAAAAAGTATTTATCAGACTTTGTATTTTACTTGTTATAATCTTAAGACTACGGTTATGAAATAAAACATCTTAACTTGATTAAGATTGCTTCTGAGGCTTGACGAAGCGTGCGTTTTGTGTTGGTGGTGGGTTGACATAATTATATGTAGAATATTATAAGAATACATGTTATTATAGTGTCTGCTTTATAATGATGCTCCGACATGGTTATTCAGACAATCTTTAAAGTAGCGGAAAAATACCTATATAATTATTATAAAATGCAGCATTTTCGTAAATGAAAACAGGTTATCGAAGAGTTAAGAATGTAATGTTATAAATAAATTGTGTTCCCATTTATGGGCAATTTCGTAGTTTTCTCATAATATCAATTATTAAATTGTTGAGAGATATATATCTCGATGTAACATATAATATAAAACATTGTGGGGTCTCAGGCGAAGGTGCTGAATAACCCCACATTCTGGTGACGTTTAGCACCATATCGTGGTGCAGCAGCACCTCTAAATTTCTTCATTTTATCTCGAGCTAATTCAATCGAAATACCTAGTTAGATAGTTATGTTTAGTGCCACAATCGTTTGTCAAAACACAGTTAGTTTTAGCGCAGGTCACTTAATTTTGAGCTTTAAAATTAGACAATAAGTGTACTTCAACATTATAAGGCCTAAAATAAAACGGATTCCTTTGTAGATGTTTCATCACAATTGTTTTTTCGTGATTTTCAACTCTCGTTAAAGATGGGCGCAATATTCTTTCACAGGGTGGCAGCACCGTTGACTTGCATGATCGTAGAGAAGTATTGTTAAACTAGGGTGTATTTATAGATATAACTAAAGAAAATTTACACAAATATTTTTTCCTGTAAGTATACACTTGGAATCTTGTCTCATAACCTGACGGAAGATCATATGCATGCAACACGAAGATAAAGCACCGAAGATTATTGCTCGACATAAAATTTATAATTTTACAGGCAATTATGCCTATAAAGTACTGAGAACGCAACTATTTCTATCGATCTGTAAATCCACCCCCACATAATAGTCGTAACATATTGAACGCAGCTGCGAACCAAAACACTTAGACTAGTTTAAGATGTAAGCACAGAGAAGTTTCATAATTCTGATAAAGTCTAAAATTCAATACAATCCTTAAAAACTCGAAAGAAACTGTAAAAACGTTTAGCGGCCGTTTCTCTACGACTAAAAAAAAAGAATAATTTTGGGTCGTTCCATAACCTGATTATTATAGTGACTTTTGCAACACATTGCTTTGTAACTACAAGTCTGATACGTGACATTACTTAATATCGGGGTCATCAAAGCCTTGGTGGAAACCCTCACGGCTCAAAGGCATCTATAATGCATGCGGGCTCCAAACATTTAACAAATCGAAAAGATATTTCTTAAAGGTCAACGTTCTCAATACGAGAAGGATAGGTTGTATTTAACCAGTAGACCATCTTCATTAGGCTTCATCAAAAAATCAAATACTCTTGAGTCACTTTCAGTCCGAATTAGCATTGTCTTTTTTCTTTATCTCTACCCATTAGATTCTTTTTTTTTTTAGAAAGTAGTCAGTTATTCTATTGCAGACCGGCTAGGTTATTATGCTTCTTTACTGTCGTGTTTAAGAAAACCCTGATCTGGCGTAAACTCTTTAATCTGAGCCAAATAGGGGAGTTTTTTTTTGCTCAATATATATTGAAATAAGTCGTTGACTTTAATTAAAAACGAAAGCTCTCCTTGTTTTAATAAGGTATAGATATTGCACAATTATTTTAGACTCACTTTCTGCATAGTACGTGCCGAAATTGACCTCTCTATTTACTTTTCTAATAGTAACGTTCATTTAAAGTTCAATGCCTTACTTATTTAGCAAAAAAACTTCACACTAACAAGCATATACTTGTATAACTAACACAAGACATGAATGATAAGTGCAATAAAATTTTTAATATTCTTAAGAGTTTACTTATTTATATGAGACGGTGAATTATTTGACAGTTGATGCTTATTAATAAATTGTAAAAACGTCAATGTCAACTACCGCCCTTATTTATAGTAATTTCAATGAAAACTATATGATTACAAAAATAGACAAGAACAAATACATTATAATGCAGAACTTCAATTCAAGTTGTACCAATATGTAATAACACCTACGAAGTAAAACTGGGACAATATTGTGTCTCTGACGTAGTTTTTCAGATCCAACAAAGCCGTTTGCTCAACGTTTCGTGCTTTGATCCTTGGCAAACAACAGAATCAAATGTAACAATTGGATTGTACGAAAAGATTAGTATGTCGCTCGTTTCGAACCTTTTTATCATTAAAATAATTAATATATATTTAGTTTCATTTAGTAGTTCAGGTGCATCCTTATCGTAGTTTAATTAAATAAAGTTAAAACCTGTTCCGTTCTTTTAATACTTTAATACATTTCCGAGAATGCTGTATTGAGCTAGTTTGGCATTCGCGGAAATACCGCTGCCCGTATTCTCCCTATAAGTATATTATGTACAGACTTCTTTTCAAAAAGCAAGTCGAAAGAACTTGATCCGAAAACAGAAACTTTTATAAATATAATTTAACTTTATAGAGAAGCAAAACAAGCTTCACATATTGTTTTCTGGCATACAAGGCTGTGTGTCTGAATAACCCTTACTTATATCCTTCGCGTGTTCGTACCTTAAAATTGCCATATTTTATAATACCAGACCAAATGCGAATATGATATTTTTCCCGATGATTTACGGAATGCTTGAACTTATTTTTATACTTCCTAAAAATTAGGGAAAATCATAGCGGTTGGTTAAGATAGGGTTGACGCTGTATAACTATGCGTTTAATATTCCATTTCAAAAAGTGCTTTTTACATATAATCCACATTCTGGCTTAATTTAACATAGAATTTAGCGAACTTGCAGCACGAACTACTATAGTTATCAAGAAAATTTGTTCAGTTAAAATAGATCAGCAGTAAGCAACGACAAAAGCGACCCACTATTACACAATATAGCCTAGCAAATAGCAATAAGAACGACATTATCTCTAGCTTGAATGGGTGGAAGGTATTAGACAACTATATTCAAAGCCAATTCTGAGCCATGTCGTTCAGGATGCTTTGAAACATTCGCAGAGGTTTCGTAAGGTTACAACGTTTTCTACTTATTGTGCAATATTTACAGCGAACTGCGGGAGGTCGTTATTTGTTGGAGGCAGGGTGGCAGGCTAGACATCAGCTAAAATAGAATGTCAATCAATGAAAAGGTCAGTTGGTTGCAAAAAAGCCGTCCTTATTTATTATATGGTATTAGTATTAGAACCGATTGGTAAGAAACCGGTTATTAAACATATTCTTTCTTTATGGGAGAAAATTAAAACATCACTTCTGCGAGCACGAGTCGATCGTACTAAGGCGTTCATATCTGATACCATTTATAGTTTTATCGATTTCAAGCACCAGAAAAAAACACTACGTACACATGGCACATTTCGGAGCTTTTAGCATGATTTTACAAATCTCAACTACGCCTTATGCATAGAGCGTTTAATACACATGATAATTCACACTTTATATTTTCAGATTTCTAACTATCTTTAAAAAAAAGAAAGACTTTACATTACCGCTTTACAGAGAGACAACGATTATTTTTCTTGTTAAATTCCTTAAGAGGGCATGGCATGTGTTTATGTATTCCAAACATCGATTGTTTTTATTATTCCCAAGTGTTTAAAAGGCTAAATGAATTGCAGGCTTCGGGATAATGAGTTGAAAACAGGAAAAAAATAGCGAGTAGACAAAATTTACTATATTTTGTTTGTTTTAATAATTGCCGACTATGTTTCTTAGATTAGCTTTGCCGCCATGCACGCAGTTGCACTATAGGTTCGCAGAATATCATCAAAATCGGCAAAAACAAACTTGCTTGCTCACAAACACTTTGTTATTTGTTCTAGATATCCTATGCTTCCGTAAAGTACAGTTGAGCTAATCACAATTTTAACCAATAATTGGTTTAATAATAGCAGTTAGCAAAGGTACTTTTTTAGTTTTTGCTCTATTAGAAGTCACCGTCGCAGTCCAGAGTATGACTGCAAAACTTTGATGCAAGCTTTTAATTTGGGAGTAAAGTAGTCAGTTTTTGGTTGATGTTATTTTAATCGGTGTCTATGGAAATGTACGTACCTAGCATGTTAAGGCGCCTGCATAAGCCTGTGACCGTAATTTTGCATATATAACATTATACACAAGGACACTGCATATGTACATGATTATATTTCTAAGGACAATTGATGAAAGATAATACTATATGGTCTCATATAAAAAAAAACTACGGAACTTGGATGCGCGCATTTAATAGAGAGAAAATAACAGGCTCTGAACTTCACCTCAGCGACAATCCAGAAGTTCTTTTGCAAGGAAATATGGTTCCTGACGCAAATAATGCAGGTATACATATTCGTTTTACGAATCTTTACCATATAGGTTTAAAGCTATTCGTGTCCAATTAAGCATTTGTCTCAGAGAATACGACATTGCGCCACGCAGCCATTCATACTATACATCGAGATCAAACATCACTGCTCGCGTCTACTCCCCACTTAATTCGTCCGGCGTAGCTCCCGTGGCTTTTAGAGTTCAGCGTCAATCTCCCCCGACTGAATAGACTTACAAGGCTGTTGATTTCGCTACAGAAACCAGAAAACGTCGTATAGCTTCTCTTAAGCCTGCTATTTTGGAAAGTATGCGTGCCAGATTCAGCCCCATCGACCCAAGCGAGCGCAATATAAAGGCTTTGTCCGGGATTTCATCAATAGTACTATGTCATCAGCGTACGCAATCAGCTGCAACTTATCCGGCGTACAAAAGAAATTTGAGCACTCGTGCTAGTCGATGCTCCACAGAGTGGATCCAGGAATCGATTCCTTCGGGACACCCGCAAGAGGCAAGATGTCTCGGTAACACAGAAGCTATTCTAAAGATACGAAGAGGTTATTCTCTTCAAATCGAATGGGATTCCCTACGGGAATATGATTAAAAACGCTTTTAACATCTATCGACATAAAAAAGACGAACATTTCGTTTTGCTTTATTTGTTATACCTTTCGGATAGCACTTATCATCGACCGTCTTTTCCTGAATACATGTTTGTCCTTTGTCCTTTTTTCCTCAATCTTTTGCCCGCGGATTAGAATAATTTCTATTAGCTTA